TCACTTGTCCCAAGTCTTGAGAAGTCACTTGTCCCAAGTCTTGAGGCCAAATCAAGCGAGGCAAGGCCAGGCAAGCCGAGGCATGATCAGGCAAAGCGAGGCAAGGCCACGCAAGGCCATGTAATCCCAGGCAAGTCGAGGCAAAGCGAGGCAAGGCGAGTAAAGGCAAGGAAAGACCAGGCTAGGCCACGCAATTCGAGGAAGGACCACTCAAGTCCAGGCAAGGCCAGTCAAAACCAGGCATGGCTAGGCAAGGCGAGATGAGGCGAGGCAAGGCCAGGCAAGATGAAGCAAGGCGAGGCAAGGTCACGCAAGGCCATGTAAAGCCAGGCAAGTTGAGGGAATGCGAGGCAAGGCGAGTTAAGGCGAGGCCAGGTGAGACCAGGCGAGGCCATGCGAAGACAGACGATGCAAGGCGAGGCATGGCGAGGCAAGGCGAAGCCAGGTGAGGCGAATTAAGGCTAGGCAAGGCCAGGCAAGGCGAGGCCTAGTGAGGCCAGGCGAGGCCATGCCAGGTCAGGCGAGGCAAGGCGAGGGAAGGCGAGGGAAGGTTAGGCATTACCAATGAAGGTCAGGCAAGGACACGCAAGTCTACGAAAGGCCAGGCAGTCCAAGCAAGGCCAGGAAGGCCAGAGAAGTACAGGCAAGGAGACACAAGGCGAGGCGAGGTGAGGTAAGGGGAGACAATACGATTCAAGGTGAAGCAAATCAAGGCAATTACAGACAAAACGAGGAAATGGTAGGCACGGCAAGGCCAGGAACGGCGAGAAAAGTCTAGGGAAAGCCGGGCAAGGCGACGATAGGCGAGGCAAATTTTCAAAATTCCACCACCTGATGCCTTGCGAAACTAGACTCTCTCGGACTGTTTCTGATGTACTGTGTCTCTGACGAATGAGGTCTGTGCCTGACTCGGGCTCTGCACGGACCGGTCTCTGTGTGACTGGGCTCTGAAGTGTCGTCTCTGAGAAGCCCAGGTGCGGCAGATAATACGTAGGCAGATCTTCAGAGACCAGAGTCCTGCAGAGCCCGCTGGTGCAGACGAGGCAGGCAGCAACTGGGTGAGATAGAGGCCGAGTCCGACAGAGACAGGAAGTATCATTCACCGAGACTGGCATGCATCTCTTGTGGAGACCTTTGAAAATATTTTGAAAATTTTCGAAAAACTGCTGGAAATTGTCTGAAAAGCGCACAAAATCGAAAATTTTGATAAAAATTTTGGAGATGAAATTTTTTAATTTTTTTTTGGTTTTGTGCGTTTTTTCGACAATTTCCCGCATTTTTTGATTTTTTTGAAATTTTTCAAAATTCCACCATCTGATGCTTTGCAGAACCAGTCCCTCTCGAACTGTTTCTGATGTACTGTCTCTGAGGAATGCGGACTGTGCCTGACTCCGGCTCTGCACGGACCGGTCTCTATATGAGAGATCACTGACAAGTCGTTTATGAGAAGCCCAGGAGCGGCAGAAAACACGTGAGGCAGACAAGGACCTGCAGAGGCCAGTGTCCTGCAGAGGCCGGTTGGAGCAGACACCGAGGCAGGCAGCAACTGGGTGAGATAGAGGCCGAGTCCGGCAGAGACAGGATGTGGCATTCACCGAGACTGGCATGCATCTCTTGGTGAGTTTAGAAAAAATACTTAAATTTTTTCGAAAAATCAAAAAATGCTGGAAATTGTTTGAAAGGCGAACAAAACAATATTTTTTTGAAAATTTTGAAAAAATGTTGAACGTGAAATTTTTCAATTTTTTTTGTTTTGTGCGCTTTTTGGACAATTTCCAGCATATTTTGATTTTTTGAAATTCTTCAAAATTTCACCCACCTGCCAGAAGCGGTGTCTTCCGGACATGGTTTCTGATGCATCCTATCTCTGTTTCTCCCGGACTCGGTCTCTGCAGTATCCGGTTTGTATGAGGCGGTCTCCACAAAGACCTAGTCCGGCAAAGACCGATTGAGTCAGACTGCGTACGGCAGAGAGCGTATGATGCACAGACCGAGTCATGAAGTGACCGGGTGCGGCAGGACAGACTAGCAGACATGTTCAATTTCTTTAGTTTTGTGCGCTTTTTGTACAATTTCCAGCATTTTTTGATTTTTCGAAAATTTTGAACTTAAAATTTTTTTTTCAGAAAT